TCATTACACATTCTAAATAAAACGTATTATCTTATCTCTGTCTCTCTCTCTCTCGAATCACAAACACCATCATCATAACCCCGTGTTAAGGCCCCACAATAACGCAACCCGTATTTATATAAACAGCACACCTTGAAGACATCACCGCATTGCTCATCTCCACATTTCCCCCCCCCCCGCCTCCTCCCTCTCCCTAGGTGAGTCAGCGTTAACAAAGTGCTATACATGGCAGAGTGGAGTGAGGGGTGAAAGTGAGGGCAGAGGGGATGGGAAGGGTTTTGTTGAAGGAGAGGGGGGAAGGGTAGGAGATAGGAAGGGGAAAAGGGTAGGAGGTAAGGGGAACGGAGGAGAAGGGTAAGAAGTGAGGGAATGGGATGAATGAGAAAAGGGGAATGGAGAGTGTAGAAAGAAAGGGGAGGTGGAAGAGAGATGGATGTGAAGAAGGTAGATAAGGTTGAAAGAAGGGTAAAGGGTGGAGATGGAAAGAAAGATGAGAAAGAGAAGAGTGGAGGCAATGGAGAGGGGGAGGGGGAGGGGGGGGTACCAGCGCACGTAGTCATACTGCTAATGAATCCCTGCAGGCCTGGGCGGCAGTCAAGGGTGTCTGGGGACCTAATGAAAGTCGTGTCATGGGGAGGAGAGGTGTCATGGGAAAGAGGAGAGGTGTCATGGAGGAGGGGGTGTCATGGGAGGAAGGGAGGGGTGTGTCATGGGAGGAGGGGAGGTGTCATGGGAGGTGTCATGGGGAGGGAGGGGGTCATGGGAAGGGGGTGTCATGGGAAGGGAGGTGTCATGGGAGGAGGAGGTGTCATGGGAAGAAGGGGAGGTGTCATGGGAGGAGGGAGGTGTCATGGGGAGGGAGGGAGGGTGTCATGGGAAGGGAGGTGTGTCATGGGAGGAGGAGGTGTCATGGGAAGAAGGGAGGTGTCATGGGGAGAGGGAGGTGTCAGGAGGAGGGAGGGGGTGTCATGGGAGGAGGGAGGGGGTGTCATGGGGGAGGGAGGGGTGTCATGGGAGAAGAAAGGAGGTGTCATGGGAGAGAAGGGAGGTGTCATGGGAAGAAGAGGTGTCATGGGGAGGAGGGAGGTGTCATGGGAGAGGGAGGAGTGTCATGGGAAGAAGGGAGGTGTCATGGGAGGAGGTGTCATGGAAGAAGGGAGGTGTGTCATGGGAGGAGGAGGGAGGGGTGTCATCATGGGAAGGGAGTGGAGGAAAGGTGTGCAGAAGCGGGGGGAGAATGTAAGTACCCCCCCTCCTCTTTCCTGTCTCTCCTTCTCTCCATCCTCTTCCTCTGACTCATACCTCTCACCCTCTCAGGTCCATCCCAACACATACACACACACCTTCACCTTGACATTTCAACCAACAGTGTAATTTGTACAATGCCTTAAAACTCCTACAATTTTTACCCGACTCTTATTGAATATTCACAACTGTTATTGAATATTCACAACTCATATTGAATAATCACAACTGTTATGGAATATTCTCTACGAAGTACAGAGCCTATCCTTGTACCTTTTATACTTAAAAGTCTGGGGAAAGAAAATCTCCGTTTACAACACCAATACAAGAATCACAACTTTCAGAGTAAGAAATGAAGTAATCCATAACTTTCAGATAAAAATACACAATTCAGCACTTTCAGATAAAAAATAAAAATTATCATTAGAATAAAGTAAAAAAAATCACAACGTTCAGAGTAAAAATGAAGCAGTTCATAACTTTCAATTTAAAAATAAAAATAAAAACTTCCAGTGTAAAAAAAAACAGAACTTTTAGAATAAAATATAAGAATTCACAATTTTCAAAAAAATATAAAAATTCACAACTTTCAGGCTAAAACAATTAAAAATCACAACTAACAATAAAAAAATCACAACTTTCAGAATAAAAAAAAATAAAAAATCAAAACTTTCAGAATAAAAATCACAACTTCAAAAATTCACAACTTTCAGAATAAAAAAATCACAACTTCAAAAAAAATCACAACTTTCAGAATAAAAAAAGTACAAAATCAAAACTTTCAGAATAAAAAATATAAAAAATCACAACTTTCAGAATAAAACATTAAAAAATCACAACTTTCAGAGGGAAAATAAAAAATACCACGAAACACGAAACAAAATATCAACCTGGCTATATTTTCATTCTGCCAATTTGCCGGACCAGCCACCCTAATAACTAATGTTAGACACAGGGAGTCATGTATGAGGCAGAGTCCGCCCATCCGCCCTAAACAATTAACTCTTAAATGGTTGCAATAAATAGAAAACATCACTTGAAGATTAGCCCTGACATAAACCCTAACGCTAACCTAATATAACACTACCTTAACCTAACCTAACGCTAACTTAACCTACCGTTAAATTAACCTGACTTAACCAAATTAAAACGTCATATAATCTAACCTAACCTAACCTCTCCGGGTATCGTTAGGGTGGAATAGGCTGGTGGGCTTAATCTTCAGGTGATTTGTGTTGTTTAAGGTGTGTTACAGCAGTCATTACAGAGAAGCCTTTTTACTGTAGTTTGGGTACAGTGATGTGGTTAGTGTGTATGCTTGAAGACTTACCATAACTGTACCTACAATACATGAAGTTACACACGTATATTACCAGCGTCGTCACCATCATCACTACAGTCACCACTAACACCCTCACTATCACCCACAGTCACCAGTAACGCTCTCATCACTGCCACGACAGTCATCACTACCATCAATATCACCATCATCATCGCCACAACAGCCACCACTACCATCATCACCACTAACACCATCATCATCGCCACAACAGTCATACCAACATCACCACTAACACCATCATCGACACCACTACAATCACCACCACAACTAACACCATCATTACCACCACAACAGCCACCACTACCACTAACACCATCATCGACACCACTACAATCACCACCACAACAGACACACCACTAACACCATCATCATCTCCATAGCAGCCACCACACCACCACCACCACCATCATTGACACCACTACAATCACCACCACAGCTAACACCATCATTAAACACCACAACGTACCACTATCACCACCACTAACACCACAGCTAACACCATCATTAACACCACAACAGTACCACTACCACTAACACCATCATCGACACCACTACAATCTATCACCACTAACACCATCATTACCACCACAAAAGCCACTACCATCACCATTCTTCCATCATCACCTACACCCTACCACACCATTTCCCACCATTCACCTACACCACCACAACAGCCAACACTACCACCAGTTTCTAACCCTGGCCACACTGTAACACGGGAGTATAAAAAGTTCAAGTAACATTCTCAATACTTTTCAATATAAAGACAAAAAACACAAGATACGATCAATCCATCATCTTATGTGACGATATACATCATCTATACATACTCTTAACACCACAGTTCAACACAATACAGTACAGTAAATACTACAAGGTCGCCAAGCGTAATGGCTGGTGCACTAAACTTTTCTTCTGCCAGGATCTAGACCCAAATATCACATAAAACTTACTTGATCAACGTCCATATTTTTGTAGGTAGTAGGCAGCTATAAAACAGGGAGGTACTACCGCCTGGGAAGATATTGGAAGCATAATGTGTTGTCTAATGGTAGACCTTGCTGCTATATGGCATCACGAAAATTGTGACAAAGCCCCAGGTTGCTGATCTATGCTTTCTGTTTTATTTTCACACAATTGCAGGGTCTCAGTTGTTTCTACTACTTTGACAACACAACATATATTTCGTTTTTCACTTAATCTGTTTTGTTCCTTTCTGTGTTGTTTGGTGCAGTTGTTTCTTTTTGCTTTTTATCGCCCCCCCAGGCCCCGATGTGGATCAGTGACCTGTGAGGGTGGGCTGATCCCCATTAAAATATGGAGAGCAGCCCACCGACACGAGCGTTCTACAGTACTCTCTCTCGTCTACTGGACTGTTCACCCGCCTCCAGTTCTATATGCCACCTAAATGAGTCACTCCAGTTTCATATACCTCTTCGAAGCTTCGAAGTTTTGTCCGTCAAATTGCTTCTCTTTTGGTTCCTTTCATATCTTCGAAGCTTCGAAGAACATATATCCGTTCTCTGTAGTGGTGAATGACGTGAAGGTCATTCGTGTAACAATCACTACCACCACCACCACCCCAACTAACACCATCATCACCGCCACAATAGCCATCACCATCACCGCCACCAACACGATAATCTGCATTAAATTTGTATAAAGAAAAGCAACTGAGAGCTGTAATTTTTTTCTAATCAATCAACACAAGACTGGCAGTATTATTTGCAATATTCTAAAGTGTGTCTTCCATATTCTCTCACACGAACCATGAGAGACAAACCGACTTACAAAATAATAAAACCTACGAGTATGATGAACCAGGTCGAGGGTCCCATCATCACTATAATTAAGACGAAGCAAAGAAAAATGTTGTAGGCCGGAGTGAAGGCGTCTACCATATCCTCTCCGGGAAAACAATGGTGGCTGACGCTTAACCATCAGGTGATTACTAGATGTGCCCACACACACACACACGCACACACACACACACACACACACACACACACACACACACACACACACACATACACACACCACACACACACACACACACACACACACACACACACACACACACACACACACACACACACACAACACACACACACACACACACACACACACACACACACACACACACACACACACACACACACTAGTGGTGTGATGACATAACTCAAAACAACAATAACGAGCAAATCGTTTGATCTCACATCTTTCTTTCATGTGTGTGTGTATTCACTTCTAACTAGGTGAGAGAGCAGAGATTGCCATGCCAGGTCACACCTCTGTCACATTCTCTCTCTCCACAGCCTAAACGCTTCCTCCCAGGCCGCACCTCCGCCAGTTTGCTCAATAATTCCAAACCTGCAGTTGCTAGATTGCAGCCCTGCACCACTGCATCCAAGAGATGCTCTATCTGCAGCCTCCACCACTGCCGCAGCCTCCACCACTGCCGCAGCCTCCACCTCTACCACAGCCTTTATCCACCTCTACTGCAGCTTCACACACCGGCCCCACCCTCAACAGCCTCCACCTCCTTCAACCTCCACCCACTCATCAACCTCCACCACTCCAACAGCCTCCACCGCTCCAACAGCCTCCACCACTCCAACAGCCTCCACCGCTCCAACAGTCTTCACCACTCAACAGCCTCCACCACTCCATCAACCTCCACCCTCAACAGCCTCCACCTCATTCAGCCTCCACCACTCCATCAACCTCCACCCCTCCAACAGCCTCCACCTCCTTCAGCCTCCACCACTCCATCAACCTCCACCACTCCAACAGCCTCCCACCGCTCAACAGCTCCACCACTCCAACAGCCGCCACCGCTCCAGCAGCCTCCACCACTCAGCAGCCACCACACCGGCCCCACCCCTCCAACAGCCTCCACCCCTTCAGCCTCCACCACTCCATCAACCTCCACCACTCCATCAACCTCCACCACTCCAACAGCCTCCACCGCTCCAACAGTCTTCACCCTCCAACAGCCTCCACCCTCCATCAACCTCCACCACTCCAACAGCCTCCACCACCAACAAACTCCACCACTCCAACAGCCTTCACCACTCCAACAGCCTCCACCGCTCAACAGTCTTCACCACTCCAACAGCCTCCACCACTCCATCAACCTCCACCACTCCAACAGCCTCCACCGCTCCAACAGCCTCCACCACTCAACAGCCTCCACCGCTCCACAGTCTTCACCCTCCACAGCCCACACTCATCAACCTCCTCACAGCCCTCCAACAGCCTCCACCTCCTTCAGCCTCCACCACTCCATCAACCTCCACCACTCCAACAGCCTCCACCACTCCAGGCCTCCACCACTCCAACAGCCTTCACCCCTCCAGCAGCCTCCACCACTCCATCAACCTCCACCACTCCAACAGGCTCCACCACTCCAACAGCCTTCACCCCTCCAACAGCCTCCACCACTCCAACGGCCTCCACCCCTCCTTCAGCCTCCACCACTCCAACAGCCTCCACCACTCCATTAACCTCCACCACTCCAGCCTCCCCTCCAGCGGCCTCCACCACTCAACAGCCTCCACCACTCATCAACCTCCACCACCTAACAGCCTCCACCACTCCATCAACCTCCACCACTCCAACAGCCTCCACCACTCCAACGGCCTCCACCCCTCCAACAGCCTCCACCACTCCATCAACCTCCACCACTCCAACAGCCTCCACCACTCCAACGGCCTCCCACCCCTCCTTCGCCTCCACCCTCCAACAGCCTCCCACCACTCCAACAGCCTCCACCACTCCAACAGCCTCCACCACTCCAACAGCCTCCACCCCTCCTTCCAGCCTCCACCACTCCAACAGCCTCCACCACTCCAACAGCCTCCACCACTCCAACAGCCTCCCACTCCAACGGCCTCCACCACTCCAACAGCCTCCACCACTCCAACAGCCTCCCCCTCCAACAGCCTCCACCCTCCAACGGCCTCCCACCACTCAACGGCCTCCACCACTCCAACAGCTCCACCACTCCAACAGCCTCCACCACTCCAACAGCCTCCACCCTCCAACAGCCTCCACCCTCCAACAGCCTCCACCACTCCAACAGCCTCCACCACTCAACAGCCTCCACCACTCCAACAGCCTCCACCACTCCAACAGACTCCACCACTCCAACAGCCTCCACCTCCAACAGCCTCCACCCTTCCCGTAAATCATGAATGAAAATTGTGAGGCTGGTGATTTAAAAAATGTAAGCTGAAAGAAAGAGAATCCAGACGAGAGAGAGAGAGATTAGGATAAGTTGTAAGTCACCAAAAGAAGGTATATAACCTCTCTCTCTCTCTCTCTCTTTTTGTTTTAGACGATAGATAGATAGATAGAAAGATAGAAAGATAAATAGATAGATAGAGATAGATAAATAGATAGATAGATAGATAGATAGATAGATAGATATATAGATAGATAGATAAATAGACAGACAGATAGATAGATAGATAGATAGATAGATAGATAGATAGATAAATAGATAGACTTCCCCATACAACACAGGTCACCTCTCCATTAAGGATCCGTCTCAACTCCACCAATACACCGTGCGTCCTCTCCTGGTATATCTCTCAATACACCGTGCGTCCTCTCCTGGTATATCTCAGTACACAGTCTCCTCTCCTGGTATATCTCTCAATACACCGTGCGTCCTCTCCTGGTATATCTCTCAATACACCGTGCGTCCTCTCTTATATCTCTCAATACACCGTGCGTCCTCTCCTGGTATATCTCTCAGTACACAGTGCGTCCTCTCCTGGTATATCTCTCAATACACCGTGCGTCCTCTCCTGGTATATCTCTCAGTACACCGTGCGTCCTCTCCTGGTATATCTCTCAATACACCGGCGTCCTCCTGTATCTCTCAATACACCGTGCGTCCTCTCCTGGTATATCTCTCATACACAGTGCGTCCTCTCCTGGTATATCTCTCAGCCACCGTGCGTCCTCTCCTGGTATATCTCTCAATACACCGTGCGTCTCTCCTGGTATTCTCTCAATACACAGTGCGTCCTCTCCTGGTATATCTCTCAATACACAGTGCGTCCTCTCCTGGTATATCTCTCAATACACAGTGCGTCCTCTGGTATATCTCAATACACCTGCGTCCTCTCCTGGTATATCTCTCAATACACCGAGCGTCCTCTCTGGTATATCTCTCAGTACACAGTGCGTCCTCTCCTGTTATATCTCTCCAATACACCGTGCGTCCTCTCTGGTATATCTCTCCAATACACCGTGCGTCCTCTCCTGGTATATCTCAATACACCGTGCGTCCTCTCTGGTATATCTCTCAATACACCGTGCGTCCTCTGGTATATCTCTCAATACACCGTGCGTCCTCTCCTGGTATATCTCTCAATACACGTGCGTCCTCTCCTGGTATATCTCTCATCCACCGTGCGTCCTCTCTGGTATATCTCAATACACCGAGCGTCCCTCTCCTGGTATATCTCTCAGTACACAGTGCGTCCTCTCCTGGTATATCTCTCAATACACCGTGCGTCCTCTCTGGTATATCTCTCAATACACCGGCGTCCTCTCCTGGTATATCTCTCAATACACCGTGCGTCCTCTCTGGTATATCTCTCAATACACTTTGGTATATCTCTCAATCACGTGCGTCCTCTCTGGTATATCTCTCAATACACCGTGCGTCCTCTCCTGGTATATCTCTCAATACACCGTGCGTCCTCTCCTGGTATATCTCTCAATACACCGTGCGTCCTCTCCTGGTATATCTCTCAATACACCGTGCGTCCTCTCTGGTATATCTCAATACACCGAGCGTCCTCTCCTGGTATATCTCTCAATACACCGTGCGTCCTCTCCTTATATCTCTAATACACCGAGCGTCCTCTCCTGGTATATCTCTCAATACACAGTGTCCTCTCTGGTATCCCCAATACATCGTGCGTCCTCTCCTGGTATATCTCTCAATACCGTGCGTCCTCTCTGGTATATCTCAATACACCGTGCGTCCTCTCCTGGTATATCTCTCAATACAGTGCGTCAGGAAGGAGATATTCTCGTCTCGTGGATCTAACTGATGTTGCTCTCTCTCTCTCTCTCTCTCTCTCTCTCTCTCTCTCTCTCTCTCTCTCTCTCTCGTTCTTCTTTTCTGCCACGCCTTCCTCTTCTACAACTATTCCATTTCAAGTCTCATCTATTTCCATTACTTCCTTTCGCTCTATTGCTTCTCCTCCTTTCCACGTCTCTCTCTCTCTCTCTCTCTCTCTCTCTCTCTCTCCATTTGTATTCCTCCCATCTCCTCATCCATTTCCTATTCCTTTTTCGTCTGACTCTCTAGGCTCCTCCCTCTCCCACCTCCATTTTTCTATAAATTCCTCTCTCTCTCTCTCTCTTCTCTCTCTCTCTCTCTCTCTTCTCTCTTCTTCTCTCTCTCTCCTCTCAATCTCTTTTTTCTCTATCTCTCTCGTGGAAGAATATGATGTCTCCAGATTGTTACAGATTTCTAAGGCCACACACACACACACACACACACACACACACACAAATCCAGATGCCGTATTAAGCATTGAAAGAATCCAAACACAGACAGACACAAAGACAGACAGCAGACACATACACAGACACCTCAGGGTAATACACAGACCAGCCCGACATTCCGACGTGGTGGTCTGCCTTCCCACCTCCACCCTCTCTGTGTGTTTAGTGAGGTGATGCTTCCACCACCAACCACTACCTGCCCACCTCAGCCACTACCGCCCACCACCACCACCACCCTACCTGCCACCACCACCACCACCCTTCCTGCCCACCACCACCACCCTACCTCACCTCAACCACTACCCGCCCACCACCACCACCACCCTACCTGCCCACCACCACCACCCTACCTGCCCACCACAACCACCACTACCTATCCACCTTTCACCACCACCTACTACCTGGCGTAAGTATATAACCATGACAGTGTTTCCTTCGTTATAAAATGTGTTTGATGAGTTATGGTTCTTGATCTATTAATGCTTACGAGACCGACCCATCACATAACACCTGTACACCACAAACACACTACACACCACCACCAGTTTAAACCATCAGCCATAACTCAAGTGTAAGAAAACTCAAGTGTTAGAAAACTCAAGTGTTAGAAAACTCAAGTGTTAGAAAACTCATGTGTAAGAAAACTCAAGTGTTAGAAAACTCAAGTGTAAGAAAACTCAAGTGTAAGAAAACTCAAGTGTAAGAAAACTCAAGTGTAAGAAAACTCATGTGAAAGAAAACTCAAGTGTAAGAAAACTCATGTGTTAGAAAACTCATGTGTAAGAAAACTCAAGTGTAAGAAAACTCAAGTGTTAGAAAACTCAAGTGTAAGAAAACTTAAGTGTAAGAAAACTCAAGTGTAAGAAAGAAAAAGAAAAACAACATCAATTTCTTACCCTCACACAGCCATCAAACAACTGGGGGTAAATGGCAGAACTTAAAGGAACTAAATATGTTGAGAAGCTAATACGGAAAATTTGTATAACGAGAGTGAGTTGTTTATGGGTAACGACCCCAAACAAGACCTGCACTACATCAGGGCAGTAGGAGGCAGTGGGTACGAGGAAGTGCACTGTAAATAAAAATAATAATAAATAAATAAATAAATAAAATAATAAATAAAAAAAATTTAAAATAATAAAATAAAATACAAAATAATAATAAAAACATAAATAAAATTGACAGTCTCGGGAAGTGTAAATTTAACGGTCTTCTTAGTGTAAATTTGACCGCTTTACTATTTTATTCGACGCCTTGCAGTAAATTCTACGGAAAAAACGGGTAAATAACCGTAACACGGTTAACGGTTTTCGTTCGTGAGAATTGACGGTCTTCGAGCGTTAATTTTTTTTTTAACAGTGTAGGAAGGAGGGAAGAAGTGGGTAGGAGGGAGAGGGTAGGAGAGAGGGAAGGTCTCGGAGGAAGTACTGTGGATAGGAGGGAGTGAGAAGGACGGAGTAGGCTGTCTAGTGCCTGTGTCGACAGACAATAACTAACCCATGACACAACCCTAACACACTATATTAGCTTAGCTGGGCGGTCAGCCCGCCCTCTCTTACCTCCTCCTAAATTTCTTCAATTTCCGAACTATACTTCCTTCCCCCACCTCTAATCTTCTTTCACCCTCCTTTCCCTACCAAAAAAAAAAAACGGAGTCGGTATGAGAGAGGGTGTAGGAGGAAGGGGATACAAGTGATCACTGTTGCTATTACTATTATTATTATTATTATTATTATTATTACTAATATACTCGTACGAAACCAGTATTCATATAAATATAAGTCAACAAAAATGACTCAGCGATTTATTGAATGTCAACAAATATGGTTACTCAGTTTCTAGTATAACACATGATTAAACAATATTTCTAATAACAGCAAAGAAAAGTCCTACCTTCTCTCCTACCCCACCGAACATACAGTAAAAGCATGAAAACAGTCATGAAACAATTCACGCACACATACAATCACACATGTACACACACAAGCACACTCGTGTACACATAACACTTACATGGACATAAAAGACATTTGTAAACACACGTAAACATAAATGTAAACTCACACACTGACCACCGGAGGGTCAAGACCTATCAGGTGCCCCTCCTGCCGAGGAGCTGAACCTGCCCCATTATCCATGTCCCTCCCCTCAACCCCTCCTCCCCACTGGGATATATATATAATCCCGCCAAAAGTGACAATTTCGTTTCGGAAAGAAGTGGGATCAGTGTTGAACAGTAATGAACAGTGTTTAAGCCAGTGAATTCAACACTAGACAGTACCAGTGAGAGCAGTGGCCCACCAGTGGGATAAGCACCCCTGGGAACTGACCGCCGTCTTCTGACCAGGAGGTGCTAATCAGTCCACCATGGGAATAACAGAGGGCTGGCCGGCTATGCAGCTGACTACGAGATACAACACCACCCAGCAGGGCGAGGTACTGTGACACCACCCCACACCACCCAGTGTCCCCATGACCATGTGAGGTCCTTCATATCAACACCCGAGGAAGAGTTACTGCACCACGCGAACACCACACCACCCAGTGTCTCCATGACCACGTGAGGTTCTTCATATCAACACCCAAGGACGAGTTACTACGCCACGTGAACACCACACCACCCAGTGTCTCCATGACCACGTGAGGTCCTTCATATCAACAC